AAGTGATCCCGTGCTGAGCACGATGGCACACACCTTTGATCCCAGCACTGGGGAGGCAGAGGCAGGTGGATCTCTGAGTTTGAGGCCAGCCTGGCTACAGAGAGTTCCAGGACATCCAGGGCTTCACAGAGAAAACCTGTCTTGAAAAAACTTAAAAGGAGGAGGAGGTGGGGGAGGGACCCTGTGACCATGATGATACAATTCAAGAGCCAAGTTCAGACTATAAGCATGTGTAAACACAAAAAGGACCAGAGCCCATGTAGACATGGAATATAGATGATAACACAAGTGGCCACTTCCTCCAGCTGAGACTGGAGCCTTTCCTCCGTCCCTCCTCTCCCTTTCAATTCGACTTACGAATGCTCACTCGAAAAGGCCCCACTTGCTGGCAGCACCCAAGCCAGAGCAAAGGCTGCTATCAAGAACCTTGGCTCACGGTCTTCTCCAGCACGGGGGATCGCTGATGGGGGCGGGGGCTGGGTCCGAGGAGAGCTGGCGCAGGATGGACGAGGACGTGCTGACCACTCTGAAGATCCTCATCATCGGCGAGAGTGGGATGGGCAAGTCCAGCCTGCTCCTGAGGTTCACAGATGACACCTTTGCTCCAGAACTTGCAGCAACAATAGGTGTTGACTTTAAGGTGAAAACGATTTTAGTGGATGGAAATAAGGCTAAACTTGCAATATGGGATACGGCTGGTCAAGAGAGTTTCAGAACATTAACTCCCAGCTATTACAGAGGCGCACAGGGAGTTATATTAGTTTATGATGTCACAAGAAGAGACACCTTTGTTAAACTGGATAATTGGTTAAATGAATTGGAAACATACTGTACAAGAAATGACATAGTAAACATGCTAGTTGGGAATAAAATTGATGAGGAAAATCGTGAAGTTGATAGAAATGAAGGCCTGAAATTTGCACGCAAGCATTCTATGTTGTTCATAGAGGCAAGTGCAAAACCTGTGATGGTGTTCAGAGTGCCTTTGAGGAGCTTGTTGAAAAGATCATTCAGACACCTGGACAGTGGGAAAGTGAGAACCAGAACAAAGGAGTCAAGCTGTCACACAGGAAGAGAGCCATGGAGGAGGGGCCTGTGGTGGTTACTGTTCTGTGCTATAAACTCTGGGGATTCCATCTCTTGCGTATTTGATCAGATAGTAACATCTTTCTGTATAAAAACTTTTAACTGCTATTAGGGACCTTGCAGTTTGCACATAATTGTTTTTATCATGGCAGTGAATACTTGCAAGAAACCCCCTCATTGGCTTTCCCAGGTGAAATGTTATGGTACGCATGCCCAGTTTGCAGTCTATGGTTTTGTGTTTTTTTTGTGTGTGTGTGATTTTTATGTAACATAAAATAGGTGTACCTTCGTGAGTACATTTGATTTTATGATTTACATTGATCATGTCTTTTTAAAAGAATATCATCTGTCTAGTGTGTGTTGCTGCAAGTCTGCTTTTGTTCTCCTTTTTGCTTAAATACACTGACCAATTGCTGAATTACTTTGTATGTAGAACTAGAACCATGGGGACGTATGCAGGTATCATCAAGCCTATCCAGTTCAGAGTGTAGCCTATGCCAAGTCATAATTAAATTTCTATTTGTTCTAATGATGCTTCCAAAATAGTATTGCTAAGTTAAAGCGGTTTGGTATTTTAATTTACTCCAGTGATTAGCTCAGTTTACCTGGAGCTTTAATCCATTGCACACTTTGGGTTCCTGATGTTTGGTGCAGTGTTTTAGTTACGTGGCATCTGGCAGGATGACAGTAAGGCTTTCCCTCATTTGGGAGTCAGAAGGACATGGACAGTATATTATAACTCCTGTAGTACTTCCACTTTTAAAATCCAGCATCTTTTTTTTTTCACAAGTGTTGGTAGTGTTTGTCCAGGTGCCTCAACTGTAGCTTGTGTGATGACTATCTGTATCTTACAGCTTCCATAAATGGCTAATTGCTACTCAAAATCCTATTTCTGTGCTTTGAAGGTGGGGGAGAAAACGCTAAATAGATAATTTGAGAAAGGCATATTGCTTCCAGATCTGAATGGTGGGGAAATGCTATTGCAATGAATTGTTGATAATTTACTGTAACAAGTAGCCAACAGTTTATTAAAAAAAAAAAAAGAACCTTGGCTCACATCATGTAGCAGGAGCCTGAACCCTACAACTCTCCTTTGAGTTTGCCTCTTGCTAAGCTGCCCCGAAGTAAGTGTGGGATGGTAGCCTGGCTGAAGGACCTTGTCAGAGTGGCGGTCACCCAGACTCAGAGGAAGCGTCTGATACCCCTGACATGGAAGCCTGGGTTCGCTAACTATGCATGGGTAATGTGACTGTTCAAGGTGCCCTGTGGTCTGGCTGAGAAGGAAGAGTAGCTAGGTTTGAGCCCTGGTGTCTTCTGGAAGCCCCTCACCATGATGCGTATTTTGACGAACTACAGAAATGACCCCTGAAAGTATAGTCTTGATGTGTGTTTTGATTTCCTGGGAATAAGCTCCTCTGAATGTCTCTTATGTGATCAGGTCTGCTCCGCTCTTTGATGATGCACTCTCTACCTCCAGGGAACTTAAACTCTCATTGCGTCCAGGTGTCTAACTCAATCCCTGCCCGTAACCCCAATACTTGCTGAGTAGAGGTAGGAAGATCAGAAATTCAAGGTTTTGGGGGCTCCATATTGAGTGTGAGGTCAGCCTAAGCTATTTGAGATCTGCCCCCTGGATAATTAATTAATTAATTGATTAATCAAATGCCTAATCTAATACCAGTCTATGCTAACTTGCTGGTGCTGCCACTGTGAGCAGTGAGTTAAAAATGGCAACAATTATGCCTGTGATTTTTCGTACTAACGTTAGCACTTTAAAGAGGCCCAATGCTCTACAAGCAAGCTCTCCCACCCTGGCCATTTTCAGCCACACTCTCACAAGGAAGGAGCGATGCTTTTCCCCTTTACGCAGGTGTAAGTGAGGGCTTACACCTTTGTGTGTGTTCTGCCGCCTACTCCCGATGGTCAGAGTGCTAACAGGAAAGGGCTGGGATACAAACCCATTTGGAACGAATGCTCAATCCCTCTACTTCATAGCATATCCTCCAGAACACGTTGATTGTTGTAACAATATTTCTTCCATACAGTCTTCTACAGCCCAAGTCCAATGGCCCCGTGAGTACAGTCAGGCCTCTCCACCTAGGAGGTGCTAGCGTGTGTGAATTTTTTGTACTAAAAACAAATCCACACCTCAAGTATTAAATAAACATCACTCCTTCCAGAAAAAAAATGTGTTGCTTTCTTTCTGAATGACTTTGGGGATCAGAATATGACCCTGAAGTCAAAGCCAGCCCTCCGGCAGGATCACCTGGGGGTGGGGGGCACAGCGTCTGACAGTGATAAGAAGTTTGCTCATTATCATGACCCTCCCTGGCCTGTACTGAGGCCCCACTCCGAGTGTTCCCTGCCCCCAGCTCCGGTCTCCAGTCCAGAAAGACACAGCCGAAGATTCGGAGTCCCAGGCACATTTACTTTCTGTAGAGCCAATGTGAGGTCTTTGGGCTCTAAGTCCCTCCTTCTGGCCCTGACACACTGTGGCTTTGCAGTGGAAACACAGGAAGGGCCTTCTCACCTCACACCAGACGGCTCTGCTCCCACTCACAGGGCAGGTCAGCATCAGCTGGGACTCTTGAGCAGGAGTGTGAGGGCTGAAGTCTGCAGTCCACAGCAGGGCCAAAGGGACAGCTGACACACAGGAGGAAGCCCCAGAGAGGAAGCAATGTAGGAAATGTAAATTTTTACTGGACCTGTGTTTGACTGCAATTATGCACGGCACGATGTGTGTGTGGTGCCTGTGACAGAAGAATGGGCCACATCCCCTGGCCCTGGCGCTGGCACTGACTTACAGGAGGTTGTAAGCCTCCACCTGGGTGCTGGAAACCCGCAAGACCAAGTGTCTTTAATTGCCGAGCCATCTCTCCAGGCCCGGTGGATGTCATTGGATAGGTGATCTGTCTTTTTGGCAGGCAGGCAGCCACAGAGTCACGCCTACTCCCCCTCCCCAGTCCATATTAAACTGCACTTCCTAACTAGTGACCCTCTCACCTGCCAGAGTCCTCCGTGTGTCTCTGTGTGGTGCCGATCGACCGACCAAGGGAAAGGGGGACTCAGCTTTAAAGTCGGGTGAATGCATAGTGGCTGCAGAGTGGCTGCGACCTCTGTGAGCACCTGCAGGGCAGTCCTCAGTCACTGTGAACACAGCCCAGAGCGCCAGGCAGGTGCAGGGTGGGCTCATGTCAGGCAAGAATGCAGACCTTTGTGAATTTGAGTACTGGTTTGTGTGTGTTTGTGTTTTATATGTGTTTGTGTGTGTGTGTGTGTGTGTGTGTGTGTGTGTGTGTGTTTATGTGTGTGTGTTTATGTGTGTGTGTTTAGGACACTGGTCAATGTCAAGTGTCTTCTTCAGTCATTCTCCACTTTATTTTTTGAGGCACAGTCTCCCACTTGGGAGAATGTTTCCCCAAACGCCATGTATCAATGTATAATTCCCAGCCTGTTACCAACTGGAAGGTGCTAGAAACATTAAGAGGTGGGGCCTAAGATTGCCTGGGCTCTGGGGTAAGATAGTAAAGCAAAGAGTGAGAACATGACTCTATTCCTCTCTTTTTTGCTTCCCAGCTACGAGGTGAGAAGTTATTGGCACCACCACAGGCTCCCAGCAGGATGTCCTGTCTCATCCATTGGCTCCCAGACAGAAGGGCCGATTGTTCATGGACTAGAACCTGCGAAACTCTGAGCCACGATGAGACACAGTCTCTCTGTAAGTTGACTATCTCAGGTACATGGAAAGCTGACAGAGGCCTGTGGTGCTGCAGGAGCTGATGGGGAGCTGGAATGCAAAGAGACCAGCTAAGCCCCAGCTGTAAAAACCAGACAGAGGCCTTACTAAGTAACGAATTAGCCACTGCAAAAGATAAATTAGCCACCACAAATGACAAAGACCCCACAAACTCAGCTACTTTGAACTGTCTGTTTAATTTCCACAAAAACATTTCATTCACAGCACCACTGAACATTTTTCACCTGCAACAGGTATGTATATGTACATCGTTGTGGGGGATTCACAGGCAGTTGGCAAGGAGTTATTGAAACTCTTTACCCTAAAGTTTTAACAATGCCCACCCCTTTCCCACCCCAGATGTGATGGTTACACTTTGGCGGGCATGCCTTTGAGAATAAAAGGAAGGTTTTAAGCAACAAAACTCCACAATACTGTAACATAACTTCAGGCCTCCAGAAGGGATGACTCACCCTTGACAATCATTCTTTTTTTCTGGATTGCACTCACTTCATTTCAGAGTAGGTTCAGCATCTCTGGCCCAAAAACTCCAGCCCTCCTAACTTAGCAAAGAAAATTCCATGTAAATACAGAAAGTCTGGGGTGGGGGTGGGAGCTTAAGAGAGAGGAAACGGCAGGAATCACTAAACCTGCTCCAAATTCTAATGTATTCTATACATGGGGGATTTTTATCTGATGCAAGTTTTGTTTAAGAAATGTCTTTCCTGGTTTGATACCCTTGTCCCCACTCATGGTCACTTGACTGGAAATAAGCCCAGAAACACAAATCAAACCAAAATGTAACCAAACTGAAATCTCATGTACAAAGGCTAGCCTAGAACTCACTAAGTGACCAAGGATAACTTAAACTGCTGCCTTGGATTACTACATGCTTGGTTCTTGGGGTAGTTTGGCAATTGAGTGGATGCCCATGTAGCAAGATTCCGGCTTCTAGCCTGGGCACAGCAAATGAAACACTTTTTAAAATGCTGCTTGTAAACAGTGAGTCTTTATCTAAGTGTGGTACTAAATGCCTATACCCCCCGGAATCAAGAGGTTGAGACTGTGGGGTGGGGAGTTGGACTTGGGTTGGGGGAGGGTTCCATCTATAATGGTTAAACATGGTTACAGCCAGTAGTTTAGAAGTAGAAAGGGCTACAAAACTCTTTCTCAGGGAATATCTACAGGAATTTTTAGTTTTCATAGGTTGGGGAAATGATTTGGGATTTTTTTTTACTAGAAGCCAATAATGCTGCTTAATAGCATATAATATCTAATATGGCTCAGACACACCTAACTCAGAATGCCAGCATGTCAGGATGGAGACACCCTGAAAAGGACACACACACACACACACACACACACACACACACACACACACACACTCCACTGAATCTGGGAGTTCCTGATTTACAGGGTGTGTGTGTGTGTGTGCGTGCGTGCGTGTGTGCGTGCGTGCGTGTGTGTGTGTGTGTGTGTGTGTGTGTGTGTGTGTGTGTGTGTGTGTGTAATGGAGATTGGTAGCCCTGTGGGTATTTATAATAACCAAATGTCAAGAAATGAAGGTCCCAATTTTCAAAACAGAGATTAGAAGACAGGAAATGAAACAAAGCAATCAGTTCCTGTAACTGCTAAAGTGCTGGAGGAAGTGATGTGTTGTCCACAGAGAACCAAAGACCAGAGGGCAAGGAAAATCCTAGAAGGACAGAGGACACGTCCGAGTGCGGGACATCTGCTCCTGACCCGCCCCGGGGGTCTAACGCATGCTGTAAAGAAGTCTTTGAGGTTGGGGATATAGCTCAATAGCTGAGCGTATGCTTCAAAGAAACCTTGAAGGCCCTGGCCTTGATTGATCATCACGGTAGTGGGGAAGCAGAGAAGACAAGCAGGATGGAAGGAAGGGCAGGCAGGAGGGCTGGGGTTCTAAGCATGAAGGAACATGAACTGAGTGTCACCATCTACCTGAGCTCAGAGACAGTATGTTGTCTTGTCCACTGTGTACATGCCGACTGCTCGTTTGGGGAGGGAAGATGTGCACTGCCCTCAGAGAATTAAAAAGATGGGAAAATCAATGGCCCAGGAGACCCCAAGCAAAAGCATCACACACCCAGGGCTGGAGGTGCTGAACACAACCAGGTAGCAAAAACATTGCAGCCTCTCGACTTGTTTACACGCCATTAAATGCACTTTGGCTGTCTTTAAAAAGCCACATGTCACAAGGGCTCCTGTCTATAATCTGCTATGCAGGTGTCAATTAAGATCATTTTTCTGAGACTGGGCTTAACTATGTTGGAATTAAGTGTATTTTCTTTCCAGAACAAATGCTTTCAGAGATTAAAGAATGTTACTTTCATGCAAACTAAAATGCCTTCCTTTAGTTAGAAGCAGGAAAACTGTAAAATTATAGTTTTTCCCCTCAATAATAAGGCAGAGAGATATGAATTCAGATTTGGAAGTTAGAGACAAATTTCTACTTTGGCTTCAATGGAGGCATTAAACAGTGCTTATGTGGAGGGATCTGCTCACATATCACCATGCTGGGCTCCTAGGGAATTCTCTGGCCTGTCACGTTTGATGCCCAAAGTAGAAATTCTGTCTTTGCTCCTCTCTTAGCTTATAAAGTGCACTTAATCCAACACAACAAACTTCTGGGAGTTAGAAAGGTTTTAGATATTTTGCTATTTACCTTTAGATGGTTGATTTACATCTAACCAACTTCTAAGGAACAAAGAATTTCCTATATGTCTGACCACAGCTGCCTAACAGCCTCCAAATTTCAGACTAATAATTAAGTAACAAACAAAAAGCTGAGTCTCACTGTTTTGTCTGGACTCCTAGGCTTGAGTGACTGTCAGCCTCCTGAGTAGCTGGGTCTACAGGCACGTGCCACCATGCCCATGAAGACGTTTTTCTTTAAAATGGTGTTTGCACTGGAAAATGTGGGTGCCGTTTCTGTGACCATCCACCCCTTCTGATGAACCCCATGCAGTTTCTCAATAAGATCAAGACTGATAGCCTAGGACAAGATGACTTTCTGTGAGGCTTTGATTAAACAGGGAAGTCCAAACAAGGTGTAATACACATGGCAGAGATTTCTGCACTTTCTCCTACCAATACAGTTCAGCTTTGTATCTGAATCAGTTCATAATCAATTTATTTAAACTTGGTTAACACGGGTCACACATAAAACTCTTAAGTACCACCAAACACATTAAAAGCAGCAACCAAATTACTTTTTGTTTCTCAGTTGGTATCAACTTTTCCATACAGTTACTAGTTGGCAGCTATAATAAATACTTTAAAATATGCCTAACTAAAGCAAAGGCAGGCTAGCTTATTTATTTAGTAGGAATGAGTATTCTCCTGTCCCCAGAGTATTCATCTCCTCCTGGCCAATGCTACATGGATTAATGTGACATACAGAGAAGACTGTGAGGAAATCTGGGCAGCCATCCTACCCGGAGATTCTCAGAAATGGTAAATAAGTAAATAAGTAGAACCCTGTCCCCACACTTGTGAGTGTGAGTATGCTACATGATTGATTAAGCTTCTGCAACACCATTGCTGCAGTTTAGTTCCTGGCAGAAAGTAAACGTTAGCCACCCCACACCTCACAGAACAAAGAGATGGTCCAAAATCCATCTGTCCCTCCACCCCAGCAAAGTCTGTCTCCTCTAATGTGTTGAGAGCATTTTTCTGCCTCTTGAGGCATCCTGTTTATCCACCTTAAACAACTTTGCATGTTGCATTTATTTACTAGATGTCTGCTTCTCCTGGTCCAAGAACGGACCTAAGAATATATATTTCCACAATGCCGCAAATGGTCGACTTCCATCTTTTATGATCTTTGAGGGAAAGAGAGGAAATCGTAATTATTGTGTTTTAATTTTTTTCCCCACCCACTTAAGCTTTGAGCTCACCTGAGAGTCAGCTAGAAGTTCTGATTGGTTTAAGAACAAGGGCTACAGAGCGCACCTCAGTAACAGAGCAGTTCCCCGGCACACACGAGCCCTGCGTTCAATTCCCCAGCACCACCGCACAGACAAGAACGACTCTGAGTCCCAGCCTTCAACATCCCTGACAGACACTGTCGCAGGAAAGCATGGGACGCCAGGGGTAGTAGGAACGGGTGACACACCACGTGAAAATCAGCAGATTTGTCCCGCTCACATCCCAAACATCTGACCCCTACCGACGGCGAGCACACCCACAAAGCTCTTTCCACAAGCAGAGCCGGTGACCCAAAGTGCCTGTCCAGACAGTCTGATTTTGTGTGGGAACCCACTAAAAATGAGTACTGTTTTCACAATGCTGTCCCTCCTGAGTCTTCCTAAGAGTCTGTCCCTGCTCCAAAGCCACATCAATGGCCACATCCTGAGCATCCCTCGTGCTTCGGTAAGTCTCCAGACAGGGCCCACCGTTGTGCTCGGCACAGCCATTGACGAGAGCCAGGGGCAGTGTTCCCGGGGGACAGCACAGCTTCTTAGCACAGCTCTGGGAGATGCAGGGGGCGCTGCAGGTCAGCAAGAAGTCCTTCTGCTCCAGGGCTTCCTTCAAGTCCACCGCTTCGAACTGGATGGTCACATTGTGGATCCCAGCGTGATGGAAGACCTCCCGGATCTTTCTGCTGGCGTCCTGGTACCCTGCGTCCCTCTGGTACTTGATGTGCAGGGTGGCGATGAGCTTCCCACTCACCAGTTCCCAGATGTGCACCTCGTGCACACTGCTGACTCCGGGCACGCTAGAGAGCTTGCTCACTGCAACAGATGGGTGCAGACAACAATGAGTGCGGGAATGGAAGCTTGGAATCATGGGCGGGGCCCATGTACCTAATCATACCTAACCAGGCTGTGCGTTTAACACAGCCGACCGGGAGAAGAGCTGTCCCTCAAGAGTCCATTTTCCCATAATCACCCTTCCCTCTGACTTCCTACACCACACAGTGCTAACCTATAAGTAACTCAAGAGCCTGAGGCAAAAAGATTGCAAGTTCAAGACCAGTCCCAGTAAGTTCTAAAGAAGCCTGGGCTTTACATATGCACAGTCTGTTCCAAGCTAGCCTGGTCTGCATAGCAAGTTCCATGCCAGTCAGGACAACATAGGGAGACCCTATCTCAGATAGATAGATAGATAGATAGATAGATAGATAGATAGATAGATAGACAGATAGTACATAGATTATAGATAGATGAGTGATAAGCAAGTAATTAAAAGATGATAAATAGATATGTAAATGATACAGAGATAAATAGATGATTGATAAATAGATATATAGATGGAAGATAGACGGGTGATTGACAGATCAATAGAAGAACAGATAGACAATAGAGATAGGTGGGTAGATAGGTGATAGACAGGCAGGCAGATAGACAGACAGACAGATAGACAGGCTAGTTTAGCGGCATGGATCAAAAGCATTTACCAGAATGCTATTTAGGGATATATTCAAAGATTCTGAAACTTTTAGCCTCTGAAGCACATAACTGAGGTAAGCATCTGACTTCTATCTGAGCAAAGCAAATGAGAAGTCTCCACTCTAGACTGAGGAGGGGCCCTTAACACGGCCTTTTTATAGTGTGATGTTCCACAGTAACATTCCGGGTCATGAGTGTCAACTAACTGGAAAGCATTATATATATACCGTGAGTGACTCATCTTTTTAAGGGGAAAACGGCGTAAAGGTGTATATTAAAAAGAGAAAAAAAAAATCTAGGCCTTGCAGAATGGCCTTCACAAAGTTAAAACACATCTTTGTTGTGAGGGCAAACCGTCCAGTGGTGTTTTTTGCCCAAGATTTACATTCTCAAAACTGTGCTAGTTAGAGAATCAAGCCATAAAGAACCTTTGGTTCTTGGAGCTGTAAATTGTCATTCCAGTCTGCAAGTCTCCTGAAGCACGTCTCCATCACATGGAGACGTAGGAGAACACACCAGTCTCCTGAAGTACGTCTCCATCACATGGAGACGCAGGAGAACACACCAGTCACATGAAGCATGTCTCCAAAAGGGTGCTTCCAAACACACTGATCAAACAATGCCCTGCGATCATAACCACAGAGTGTTCTCGATCCCTGTTTGTATGTGGCCCACTTACTCAGCTCTTCCATGTCAACTCCCTTGGGGACCATCTGCAGCAGGATGACAGCAGTCTCCTTGATCAGTGGAAAAGCAGACGACAAAATAATGATGACCATGACAACTGTCAAACTGGGGTCAATGTAGCATTGCCAGTTACATGGGTCTGCTGGTGTCAGGGGGTGAACATAGAATATGATGGCCGTGATGACCACGATCACGGAACCCAAGGCATCTCCCATCACGTGCAAAAGAACACCTGCCAGGAAGGAAGGCAGACCAGTAAATCACCGAGCCAACCGTTGGAGTCACATGATGACCAGTTCACAAATGTTCCCTGTTGCCCAGTATGTGATATACACCAATGATCTCAGCATTTGGGAGACTGAGGCAGGGGGACAGCCTAACCTACACAGTGAGTCCATCTTTAAACAAATAAAATAACAATAGCAACTACTCAGAAAACAAAATCATATTGCCACAGCCATGTGATGACTCAACCAACTGAAGACACTTGCTACCTGGGGTCGGTTCCCAGGACCCACGCAGTAGCGTAAGGTGGCTCTCCTGTGAGGCAGTCTCTGTCCACACACACACACACACACACACACACACACACAAATATGTTACAAAAATGATTTTAAAGGTAAATGATATAATTACATTTTAGTTTCAATTTTTTAACTAAAAAGGAAGAAAAAAATAACAAAAAAAAATCTCAGGCCAGCAACCCAGGACCCATAGAGCCCAGGAAGAGGAACAGCCTTGGAAGAACCTGGGCTAGCTGTCACCTCCTGTGTCACCAGCCGGTACTGCAACATCACTATCCCCCAGCACCCGTCAAAGGGCATCATGACAGGAAACAGAGCCAAGTGAGTGATGTGCTGTTCTTTCAGACAAGCGTCTGGACATTAAATTCTTCTAAGCTTTCATTTCATTCTGAATTAGAGAAAACATCTCACTGTGTAGCCAAGGCTGGCCTCAAACCCCTAATCGTCCAGCTTCGGCATCCCAGTGCTGGGATTGTGTCACCATGCCTGGTTCAAAGTTTGTGTCTCTACTACACCCCATGAGTCAGGTGTGGGGTGGGGCTCCCCTTCCGTGTCCCTCGATCCCATCGTGGTCCCATCATCTTTTACTGTTGCTTTATAGTTGCAGTGCCAGAGGACAGAGCCCAGCGTCTGACCCGTGCCAGGCAAGCATCCTGCCCTTGGACACAGTTTTAGGCAGGAGAGCTGCTATTTTGGGTCTCTGTCTTCCCTCAACCCCAATCCACCCCCACTTTCCCTTGGGACACTCTTCTACTTCTCACTGGCCTGTGGCTATCTCTGTGGTGCTTAGTTTAAGAAGGCCTGGAGAGCAGGGATGCCGATGAGGTTTCCTTTGAATAAAAAGCCACTTGTCACGATCACATAAAATTAAAACTCTGTGTGTAAGAAGTTGTAAGTTCTAAAGGTTTCAGTCAAGTCATTGCAGAAAATATGCAATCTTCAGCAAAGAGGATCTGGGCTGTAGATGTACATTAAGTTAGAGTTTAGTAAATTCAGTGAAAATCTGGTCAGAGGGATTAAAAATGTAGACACCAAGTATTTGCATTCCTGAAAGGAACGCCAGAATCTTGCTCCTGGAAATGAGAGCAGCAGCAGGAGGAGGAGGAGGGGGAGAAGGGGGAAAGGAGAAGGAGAAAGAAGAAGAAGAAGAAGAAGAAGAAGAAGAAGAAGAAGAAGAAGAAGAAGAAGAAGAAGAAGAAGAAGAAGAAGAAGAAGTTGTTGTTAGGAACAGTTTCAATCTCACATGGGTCCTGTCTTGATCTGAGAAAGGGGTGTCATTCACACCCCACAGAATCACACCAATCAGGAGCTTTAAATCACCAGGTTCACATAAAGGACACCTGTCAACAGACCATGGTGATGGTTCAGAGACAAAGGCCTTGCTGCCAAGCCAGATGATTGAAGTTCTATCCCCAAGCCCAGGCAGTAGAGAGACCTCATTCCTGCAAGTTTTCCTCTGACCTCTGTACATGTACATGCATATAATGTATTTATTGTACATGCAATAAATAAATATGATTTTAAAAGATTATATGTGACTGGGCATGATGGCACCTACCTACAACTCAACTACCCTGAAGGCTGAGGCTGAAGGATGGAAAATTCAGGGTCAGCCTGGGCTACATGGGGATTTGCAGGCCAGCCTGGGCTACAAAGAGGCTTTCAGGCCTCTTTAGGCCCATATTAAGACCCTGTTTCAGAAAAACACAAGCAAACAAGCAAAAATTAAAAAAAAAAACCTATGAAACTGCCCAGGCCATAAAGGTGGAGTATCCAAAAGGTCACCCAGCATCTGAAACTTTACAGAAGCAGAGAGTGACATTCCAGCAGGACAATGTTGGAGGTAGGAGGCGTGCCAGGTCAAACAGTGGTACTGGACAGGGCATTTGGCCCTAAAACAGTGTGTGGCGGAACACACTTTTAATTCCAGCAATTTGGAAGCAGAGGCAGACCGATATCTGTGAGTTACAGAGTATAATAAGAGTGTTGAACTCCTGCTATATATGCTTAGGAGTGCAGAGAGCAAAACCAGTCAGTGAAGTCACCAAGAGAACCTCTAAGCTTGAGCATATATAGACGGGGTCTCTGGTCACGGTGTGATTAAAATACACCCAGTACTCCCGAACCCAACCACTAGCAGCAGGAGCAGCAGCCAATCGTGATGGGAAGGAAAAAGCTAAACTTGAAGAATGTAGTCTCTTAGAAGACACAGGAACAGCAAAATGAACAGCCCAAGAATGAGCCACATGTCAAACAGCCCTAACAGAAACCAGAGTAAAAGGGAGAAGCAGGGCGGAGGGGAGCCCCGCCCCAGGGTGCACCTGAGATTTCCTCTCCACTCTACAAAGGGGGAAATTGAGGCACTGAATGGCTAAGTGATTTGCCTGGGGTCACACAGTCATCAAATCCAAGTGGGCGTTTGAACAAGATTACCCGGTTGATTTGAACACACATAGAAGTTGTCAAAGGATGGTTCTAGAAGAAAATATGTAGTTAGGAAGGTCTGCTTGGCCACCCCTGCTATCCAAAAGGTTCACTCAGTCGAATTGATAATAATTCCAATTGCAAACTGCTGGCTCATAGACGATACTGAATGGTCTGACCTGGAAGGTGTTTGAATTAAGCTGCTCACACTTCCTGGCCTCGGAGCGACGCCCTTGTTAAATGCATTGTCCCCTTGTCCTTCACTGAGTAGTTACATAAAGCAACAGGACACAGATATACACATAAGACAGTCCCACTGTCTAGCATTCTGTCTCCCATCCTTCCCAGCCCCTGTTCCCAGCCACAGGAAAGAAATTCAGAACCTTCCCAGGAGTTGCCCTACCCACCTGTTCCCCTGACAGGAGCTAAGGAGACTTTTGCTTTCTTGGTGACAGCACCAAATGTTACTGTTCAAATAGGAAAACCTACTGTCTCGTTTTCATTCTTAATGCCACCACCTCATTAAGTCTAATGGGGGGGTCACACCCTCACTTACAGGTGGACAGGGGAGGCTCAAAGACACACCCCTGGAGGGAGAGCCAGAGCAGCAGATCGGGACTGCGATCCACTCAGGAGTTTAAGGAGAACCCCGGCTAGCTACAATCTGGACTGCGGAGTATGAATCTCCTGAGGACAGCAGCAGAGCATCCGAGGAAGATGGATGCCCCAGGAAATATGGATAGAGGGCTTTTGCATCCTGTCCTGCATAGGCTCCAGTCCCCACCCCAGGGTTCCCACGCTTGGCCACTAAGAATCCCACACAACAGTGGCTCTCACACTTCTGGTCCCCACAGTCTACACTAAAAGGTTTGTTTTGCATCCCAACACACTCGGAGATACAAGTTGAAGCAAGAAGCGAACAAATGCCACCCTTACGACGTATTTCTCTTTTCTGTTCTGTCCCATTCCATCCTAACGATGATTAAATTCTGCTAAGTGGAACCTGGGGCCCAAACCAAACTGTGTGTGTCACAGTTCCTCGACAGAATGGGAGGAAAAACTTTCACTTTAACTGATAAAAATTTGAACATGTTGGGGGATTGTTCTGATTTGTTTTGGGAGATGGCTTTTTTGTTTTGTTTTGTTTTTTGTTCCTTTCTTTTCCTTTTTCTGTTTTGAGATAGGGCCTCACTATATGGTCCAGGCTGGTCTCCAAATCACACTTCTCCTCCCTTAGCCTCTGGAGTGCCGAGGTAACTGCTCTGAACCAGTAAGCCAAGCTCCATGTGCTATCCGGATGCATGTACATACTATGCAATACTAAGTCAAATATCTAGTCCCCTGAACTTTTCTTTCTTTTCCTTCTCTTTATGGTAAAAATTTAAAAAAACACTCAAAGCCTTTTCTTCTAGCTGTTTTGAAACATACAGTAGTACCTGGCTGCTGTCACAGCTGCCCACTGAGTGAAGGCACACAAGCTTGGGTAGTGGGCCAACTTGGTTTTTGTCCACCTTTAACAAAAATCACAGTCAACACCAAGCATAGTGGTAAATATGCTGTAATTCCAGCAGTGTGGGACCTAACAAAGGAGGACTGTCACAAGTTCAAGGTCCACCTGTACTACATATTAAGTGCAGCCTAGTCATGGCTATATAAGAGGACCCTGTCTCCAAACAAACAAATCACACCCTGTTACAACAAGCTGCAGTGGGGCTTTGGATATGGATCCATGGGGCAGCATGTGTTTAGCATGCACAAGGCCCTGGGTTGCACGCCTAGCTTCACACACACACACACACACACACACACACACAATCTTAAATAAAAGGATACACTGTATGTCAGTAATATTCATGAAAGTAGCAAACCAAGTACAGCAGTAATATGACACTGATGTGTGGAGATCAGCTCAGACCAACCTGGACCTGAGTTATAGAGCTCATGAGAATGTGATATTCATGTGCTGGAATCGGAGAACATGACACATATGTAGACATGAGAAGAACATGACACATATGTGGAGATCACCAGAACAAAATGCTCATGTGGACATCAGGAGGCATGACACTCATATGTGGGCATCAGGAGACAGGACACTCATATGTGGGCATCAGGAGACAGGACACTCATATGTGGACATCAGGAGACATGGCACTCATATGTGGACATCAGGAGACAGGACACTCATATGTGGACATCAGGAGACATGACACTCATATGTGGACATCAGGAGACAGGACACTGATGTGTAGGAAACAGAGGAACTCATTACATATGTGAATTTGAGTAGACCATGACACATATGTAGAGGTCAGGAGAACAAGGTATTGATATGTGGGGATCGGGAGAACATTTTACAGATAATGCGGAGGTCCAGAGAACATGACTGATGTGTGTACATCAGGAGAACATGTCACATGTGTGGATATGAGAATAACATGACTCTGTGGAAATCAGGGGAATGTGGCATTGATATGTGTGAATCACATATGTGTAGGTCAAAAGAACATGGCATTAATATATGGGGTCAGGAAAACATGATACATATATGACTATGAGGAGAACATGATATATATATCAGGAACACATTTCACTGATAATGTGGAAATCAGGAGAACCCAACATTCATGTCTGGGGCTCAGTGGAACACAACACTCACATGTGGAACTCAGGAGAACATGACACTGACATGTGGGGATCAGTGGGACATGACACATATGTAGCAATCAGGAGGTTATGACACTGATATGTGAAGCTCAGGAGAACATGACACACATGTGTAACTCAGAAGAACATGGCACTGATTTGTGAACAGGCAGCGATAGCGTGGCTTAATTAGAGCAAAGATAAATCATTAGCAACTAGTTTTCCCCTCAGAATCAATGCAATGATTAGGCAAGAGAAGAGGGTCATAGTCTGCAGGTGGCTGACCTACTTTCCAACACACCGTTGCCTTACTGAAAGCTGGACAGAAGTCGCAGCTGCGGCACAGCCCCGTTAGCTATGGGAAAGGGTTCGAAGCTAGCCCAAAGACAACCCTACCTCTGATATTCAGTGCTTCAGACTTTTTCTCTTTTTTCGTCGTCTCTTCTGGTTCATTCTGGGTGTTCAGGGAATCACCTGCATTCAAAGAAGAAACCTTGTGTTGTGTATAAGTTCTACAAACAAAAAGAACCAATGAACTCAAAATGCAGTTTTGTTATTTTCAATTCCTCTTAGCATCCGGGAGTCCCCACCTTCCCACACTCAGCCCAGACAGGTGCCTTTCAACCCAGAGGAAGGCCATGGTCCACCCTCGGACGCACACTTTTCAAATTTAAAACGGGACAAGTATAAGCCTACCCCTACCCCCCCAAAACCCACAATACCCAAGGGGCAGAGGATAGCCCTGCCACTGATGTGTCAAGGCAGGAGACAAATCCAGCAGGAAAGGGGAGGGATGGGGAGTGCTCTCTATTGCCCAATAGCAATAATTGATTTCCAAGATCAATACTGCCACAAGGAGAGGGGATTGGATAAGAACTGCAGAGTCAAGGTGGAAAGGAGGGAGGGAGGGAGGGAGGGAGGGAGAAATGGGGGAGAGAAGAAAGAAGGCAGGGAAAGAGGAAAGAAGAGGAGGGAGGGGAGGAGGGAAAGTTCAATTAGAAGAGGGCAGAACAAGCTGCGAAGAGGATTTCTTTTTAACAGTCAGGAAACAAAAAGCAAAGGAGGGAGTGGATGAGTAAATGGGACCAGATGCCTGGGGGAGAAGGGAGGGTGGAGGGAGGACAAAGCGGTCCCAGCCCAGAGGGATGCAACCGAAAGGCACCTGCTACATTCGAGAACACGGTCGCGCCCTCCTGCAGCTTTCTTCCGGCCGAGGCCCCCCGGAGAGTCACTACTGCGTCTGAACCGGGGGCTGTGGCTGCCACAGACCCTTGGGGATTCTCCAAAGCGCCGCAAGGGTCCCCCTGGTGCTGCGGCTGCGGCTGCGGAGGGCGGGTCCGACGCCCCCGCGTGCATCTCGCGAAGCAGGCGCCGCAGTCCTGGAAGATGAGCAGCCCCACTATGTTGACCGCCAGCCCCAGGGTGCCCACGATGAGCACCAGCTCCGCATCGTCGATGCGCTCGGGCCGCGCGAGGCGCAGCACGGCCTCCACGAAGATGGTGAAGCAGAGCGCGGTGAGGAAGACGGCGTTGCTGAGCGCGCCCACCACCTCGGCCCGAGCATAGCCGTAGGTGGCGCCCGAGCCGCGGGAACCACGCCGCGCGATGTAGCCGGAGCCCAGGCCCACGCACAGCGAGATCAGGTCAGACAGCATGTTGAAGGAGTCCGAGAGCAGCGCGATGGAGTTGCCCAGGTACCCCGACACCAGCTCCGCCACGAAGAAGGCCACGGTGAGCACCAGCATGAACAGCAGCCGGCACGTCTTGCCTGAGTAGCGGCCCATCTTTGCAACCCGCCGCGCCCCGCAACAGGTGGGGGGGTCTGGAGCCCACCTCCAGCCGCAGACCCGCCCTGCCCCACCGGGGCCTTTTGTACGGCCAGCTCGCGCCCGCACGGCCAGAGTCTGCGGGAGTGGCCCTGGTATCGCAAAGGCCACCTCCCGGGGCCCCAGCCCCTCCTCTCTCGCCGCCCAAGCCTGACTTGGCAGGTGGCCACCGGCCTGTGTCTCCTTCTAGGACTGGGCTGGAGAGGAGAGCCGCTGGGAGGAGGGGCGCATCGGGATGCCAATCTTCTTAGATTCCCACCTCCACCCTCGCAGAGAGGCGGGATGCACCCGATGACCCCCGCTCCTCCAGCTCCCCCACCCCCAACCCCGGGCCACTACAGATCTGTGAACGCTGCTGATAAGGACCTGGGCTGCAGTGGGAGTGATCACTGCACACCCGTGCCTACGTGCCCAGTCGTGAGTCGCAGGGTAGATTCCATATGGGCTGGTGGGGTCAGCTGCACTTAAAGGCATTTCCTGCTTTTCCTTTGGTTAAATGGTTATCTCATTCTTCACATAACCCCCCATTCCTGAGCCCACCGCCAAAGCACGTTATCTTCTCTTCTTCACAAAGAGCACCTGTCCTTTCTGTTACTCCCTCAGGGCGCAGTGTCCCCCATCTCCCCTTCGGGGGTATCTCCGTGTTGATCTTTCTACAGAGGAGCAAAAGGCGGGTAGCCCAGGGCACATGGCCGCCACACCGGTGTAAGCTTAAGCGTGGAGCGTTGGTGCAGCACCCCTAAACCCGGATACTTTGTGGTAGATACAAGTCCCTCGGCCATCGAAGAAGTCAGGCTTTGTCACCTTTCATAACATGCCGGAGAGAATTTCTACTGACCCCATAGATGACCCGATACTCCTAGTTCAATTGATTGACCCAAATCGTTTCTTCCAAACAGGCCGGCTTCCAAATGGCGGTCACTCAAAGGGAACATGTCCAGATAACCCTCACAGCAGCCCCTTCAGAAAGGGCATTTACGGTTGCTCACTTCAGTGGGGTGTGGATGGGGGAGCCCTGTGCCTCGCTCTTACTTTATGAAGGGTCTGGAGGCAAAGCAGCGTAACTGCTGCTCTGGGTGTCTCTCCCCATGAACGTTCATCACCCTCGCCGGGAGGAAAAAAAAAAAAAGCGGTTTGGAGCTTGAAGACGAATACAGTGCCTCCCTCAAAAACAGACCCCAGGAAGCCAAAGTAGTGCAGGTCTTTCAACTGCTCAAGAGGGTTAGTTTGAGACTGGAATCCATTAGCAAAACATTTAACTTCAGAAAAAATTCGGATGAAATCTGTGGCTCTGGCTGACAGTGGAGGTCAGAGGACAACTTTGGGGAGCTGATCCTCTCCCCCCACGTGGTCCTAGTCTCTGGGATTGAACTCAGAGCATCCGGCTTGATGCCAAACACTTTGATCTGCTGAACCGTCTTTCCAACCCCTCCCCCCATTTTTTGTGCTATTTTGTGGCCTGCTGTGTTTAACCGGGATTCCAGCCCCACCCGTCTTCATCTTAAAATATGCTTCCATCTTTTTCATGGTCTCTGGAGGTTCCTATCAGTGGTACTAAAATACCCCCGAAAAAATAAAATAAAATACCCCCGAGTCTAAGGTCCTTCCTCACTACTAGATAAGCCCCAAATGCAAGGGATTTATTAATACTCCCTTTTCAGACAGACAGATGACTCAAGCCTGTAATCCCAACATTTGGAAGGGGGTGACAGGTGGGCTGCTGAGGCAGCTCAACCTGGCCTACAGAGAGAGTGAACTTGTCTTTGAATAAATAAATAAATGCCTCCAGGAGAAATGTCACCACACTGAGAACTTGAGGAAATTCTCTAAATAAATAAACAAAAAGTTACTGATAGCGTAGAAAAAATCAGGTATAGACAATGAAGTTTTTAAGCTATAGAGACTTGAACAAGTTCCTTAACCATTGGGGCCTGTTTTCATTACTGTAAACTGGTAAGTACTGAACAAATTACCATGTGAATATAATGATACCTAGTATACGTAAGCACTCAAGAAATGCTATCATTATATTTGCTAGTGTGACTAACAGTAGTGCAATACACATGTAATAAAATTCATGACTGGTCTATAGGTAAAATGCTGACCTATGCCAGGGATGTGTCCAAGTACTCTTCCCAGCATATAACTTACATTGCCTTCAAACTATGGAACCTCTAAAATATTTGACATATGACTGCAAGAGCAGGACTGGAAAGTGTAGCTCAGTGGTAGAGTCCTTGCCTAGCACTTACTTGTAAGGCCCTGGGTTCAAACCCCAGCACTGGGGCCTTTTGTAACTCACCCAGCAGGGCTAAAGTGTTCCTGGCTAATTGTAGTTCTTGTTCATGCACAGCTGGAAAAAAACCAGAAATCAGCAGAATCATATCACTCCTGCCTCCTGGTTAGTCATTCTAAGCAAAGGCAGATAAGAATTGTGTCGCTGGCCCAGGAGCAATAAGAAATGCCAGAGGCTGAGGACCAGGAGATGTCACAGGTGTCTGATGTCCCTGTCCTCAGCCAGTTCCTGACCATAAGGAGAGGTAAGCGTTCAGATACTGCTAATAAAATGCACTGTAGGCAAAGTGGGGTGTGTGTGTGTGTGACATGTACATGTCATGTTTCCATAGGTGTGTGTGTGTGTGTGTGATATGTACATGTCATGTTTCCATAGGTGTGTGTGAACATGTACACTCATGTGGTTAAGACTGTCTTCCCCAGTCAGTTCCACTTTAGGGGGGAGCGATGAGGGAGGGGAGAAAGCAGAATCTCTCAGTGAACCCAAAACTCCCTGATGATTAGCAAGGCTGGCTGGCAGGGAGCTGTGGAGACCCTCCTGTCTCCATGTCTCCCCTACTGAGACTACAAGTTGTGCGGGATGTGCCCCACCTTCACGTAGCTGCTGGGGCCTGAACTCCGGTCCTCATTCTCGCACAGCAAGCACATGGCCGACTGGGTCATCTCCCCAGCCCCCAGGAAAATGCTTTGACTAATTTGCGTTATATGATCTATCTAAGCTACTTGACAGACACAGACTGTCTTACAGTGTATGTTTCAACAGCTTTTTGTTTGTTGAACTCTTATTTGTAGCCCTGGATCAAGTACTTTATAGGTATTATCTCATTCCACCTTCCAGTACCCTCATGCAATATTTTGAACATATTAAATAATGTTTTGTTACAAACTGTTTTGTTTCTAAGGAATTTGGAACTTGGAGATTTTAAGTCACCAAGCCAAGATCACACAGGCTGTAAATGACAGTTGGGGGTTCTAACCTAGGCACAGAGTATCCAAAGCTTATTTTCTTCACTTACGCCAGACTGATCTTTTTTAATCCTTTTGTCTAAAACACAAAAGGCATTTTATTTGAAATAGGGTCTTGCTATATAGCCCAGGCTGGCTTCAGACTCAATCTGCCTATCTTTGCCTCCCAGTACTGGGATTATAAATTTCCTCTTTGATGACCCGAAACTTGGTGCTTTGCAGTTCATAAGTTTGGAGATTATTTATATTCAAAATTCTTTCTATGTGGCATTTTGTTTTTATATATCAGCTTTTAAATGTGATTTTAAAAGTAAATAAGGCAGCTAGTAAGATGCCTCAGCAGGTAAAGGAGCTTGGCACCCAGCCTCATGACCTGAGTTCAATCCTGGAAACCTACACGGAGGAAGGAGAGAACTGACTCCCACAGACCGTCCTCTGACCTCCACACTAGCTAGCACCACGGCCTACACACACACTCATACACACACACAAATAAATAAATAAACAAACATAAAAATAAATCGACCAACAATGGTCCTTGAAGTTGGATTCACTTGGAACTAAATCTGAGCTCTACTATTTGCTACAAGTCATGTGACCTGGACAGGGTCCTAACATCTTCTTCTTCCTCATTGGGGTTACAGTTGTAACAGCATCTAACTCATGGGGCTGTCATGAGACTCACACAGGGAAATGAGAGTTCATAAGGAAGGTTCACGGGTCAGTAAGTGTTCATGGACAGCCCCTCCCCTGAGATTAGTAACCCAACATGGAGAAGGTGGGTATTTGCTCTCACCGAAGACTCAGAGCTTTGGTTTGTCTGATGCATTTGGGGGCGCAGAGAGGCCAGGCTATGGGGGAATCTGTGTTATGAACACTGTATCTCTGGTCTATGGTGACTTACAGAGAAACTTTAAATATTTGCTTTCAGCTTCATCTAAGAAGCAGAGAAAGTTATACAAGTATTAAGTAAGCCATTTCGAGGCTGGTAGGATGGCTCAGCAAGTAAAGGCCCTTCACGAACAAGCAAGCATGCTGAACTGAGTTGAGTCTTTCAAACAGACAGAGAACTGGAAAGAGAGAAACAATTCCACCAAGTTGTCCTCTGATATGCATGCTATGCCCCCCACATACACACAAATAATAAAAGCAAATAAGAGTTCAAAATCTCTGTAACTACAGGAAACAATTCATCAGAATGACAGTACCTCCACAGATACAAAACATGGGGCCCCCTGTCACTGACTTGCTCTGTAGGCCAGGCTGACCTTGAACTCGGAGATCCCAAGTACTGGAATTAAAGACGTGTGCCAATACCGCCTGGCTGGAGTTTTTCTTGGGGCGGGGGTTGGAATACAGGATGGCTGTGTATAGCCCTGGCTGACCAGATTTTTTTTTTAAGGCATAGATTTGTACAAAACACCAAGGACTTTGATGGGCTTTCCTCAAAGTATTTCAGAAAACACTAAATGTGAGGGATTCTTGAGCTGATATGGTGCCTCAGTTTTCTGACAGAAGTGTGAGATGCCAACAAGGATAAAGCCAGGTAGCAGTCAGTCAACACGGCTTTGAACAGGCCATTGATGCAACTGTCTTGTGGCTGTCTTCATTGGAGAGCAGAGCACCTGCCTGGCATTCGTGGTTACAAACACTGACTTTGGACTGGCGGTCTCATCCCTCCACCAGAAAGTTCAATGGCTTAGCGACCCGAGAAACAGCCTCCTAGCTATCCAGCCATCCCTTGCTTGGAATCAAGGCCTTACAGTTTTCTAGGACTTCCTTTTCAGACTCGCCTGCTCACAAAGACTTGAGCTCTTAGAGAGGGGCAATAGCTCAGGTCAAGATGTGCCCAGGGTATTGGGTGGGGCATCTAGGAGGGGGAAGATGAGGTTAATTCTCTAACACACTCAAGTCAAGACCCATAATGAGGGGTGTCTAGAGTCCAAGGAAGCCTGTGGGGACAGAGATGATGGAGAGACAGAAATGGCTGCCAGGGTAGGCCACATAGTAGTT